AGATGTGTCGGTCCATGAACATCTATACTTAGTAACGAAGATTAAGTTGACTAGCTTGCCGTTGATTCAGTTTCACGGAAATTATGGAAGTTCTTACCAAATTTATTAAAAAATAATATAATTATAATGTTAGGTGATTTTATAAATTTACAAAACATGTTATTACATTATTTTGACTGTTTTTATTTAAGAGTATACTCATAATATTTATGTGTATATATTTATTTAATAATATGATATCATAATTATAAATTTATAATCTTATATGATAATATAATCATACTATATATTATCAAAATTATTTAAGTAAAAATTAGCGTTGCTTCTTTGGATAAACAAATGCAAAAACTTTTCATTGCATTGTGTAGCAAGTATGGTATCAGCGTGCGTGGAAAGACGGTAAATAAGTTGAGTTTAGTGCGTTATTATGGTAAAGCTTGATTTGTTTAGAGCTTTTGACAATAATATTCACTCATTCGAACTTTGTTTTGAATTTGAAATGTGATGTTCAAGTTTCATTCGTTAAAAATGAAAGAAATTATTTACCTCCCATCACATGCTAAACTAGTTAGGTTTATATGGCCAATTCAATAGGTGGGGGAGGAATTTGGCCAAAAAAAAAATAAAGCTAAGCGGAAAGGAAGCACCTTCCTACACAAATTAAACCAACTCATACTAAGTGTGTTTGAATTGAAAGAAATAATGAGAAATAAAAGGGAAATATTACTCATTTTATTTATTTTTAATAATTTTAGTTGGACTTTTAATTTTTTAGATATAAATTTCAAATAAAAATTTAACATATTATATAAATAATAAATAATAATTAAAAAGTTTTTTATCAAATAAAAATACTCATAAATAACTTTATATAAGAAATTTTTTCAATTATTATTCATATAAATCGTTAAATTTTCATATGAAGTACATATTTAAAAAGTAAAAAAATCAAATTAATATTATTGAAAATAACTACAAAAATGGACTGAATGAGTAGATTTTTTGTCCAATTAAATGAAATTTTTATCCAATACTTCATTTAATTGAATGGAAATCTTCTCATTTTCCGTCACTCTCAACCTAAAGAAACGGTAATAGATATGAAGATTTTGAAATCTACATATCCATTTACATAAAAAATGGTAGACATTATCCATTCCCTTATGTTGAAGATAAATGTAATGTAATGGATAATATCCGTTATGTCCCACTAAAAACAGGTCGGTAGTTAATGCTCCGACAGTTGATGAACTAACCACCATTTCTTCCATTTTTCTCTAAAAAAAATTAGTTGTGTTGTTTTGTCAAAAAAGTGTTGTGAACTCAAGCAAAAAAAATAAAAGATAAATCTCCGAAATTACAAGAGACGGTTAGTTTTGTCCTCTACCGGCGTCACGAAACTTCCTGAAAAACGGGAAGCAGAGAAAAAAACGACAAACGGTTTTAACTGCCAATATCGATAGCTGTTTCCCGCAAGTAATTGCAGAGCAGTTTCACACTTCATCCATGGACGGTGGTCTTTGTGAGATAAAGTCAACAAAATCGGATGGTCCTGATTGGCTTATCATTTTTTGACTCAACCGTGGAAATTAAAGTTTCTTTGATGTTGACTGATACGATGACCAAATATTATGGATTATGGGTTAAGGTACTACTAGTATAATCCATAGTCAAAGTCAGTTACTCGGAACCGTCCATTTATCTGGTAAGTGACATCTGTCACTTTCCCATTGGAAGATGCCGTCATTTTTCTTCATTTTTATTTTTAATCTCAGAAAAAATGATTTTCCATTGGTAATTTTCCACCTGTAGGTGTATTTGACTCTTTTGGGATTAGGGTAAATGTCAATTTTGATATCTCAATTTTAAAATTTTATATAATTTTTGTTTTTTTTTTATGTATCTTTTTTTGTCTCTCAACTTTAATAAATATATATTTTTTAATTTTTTTGTCATTTAGTCTAGTAAGTATGTCTAATATATACATTTTTAATCCATCAACTTATAATATATACACATTTTTATTCTTCAATTTAAAAGTTTAGAAACTAAAAATATGTATATATAGATAAACTTAACAAACTAATAGATAAAAGAACTAAAAAAAATAATTTTCATGATTGAGAGATTAAAAAAGTACATTAAAAATTAAAGGATAAAATTTACACAACTCTAAAGTTGAAAGATGAAAATTGACATTTAACCTTCGCTTTATCATTTTCCAACTTGAATCTCTTGAAATTATTCAAATAGGTGGTTACCCATAACTTAGAACTTAGAGTGCATAGGTGATGCCTAGGTTGCCTAAGCGGTTTTTTTTTAATAATAATTTTTTGATATAATTTAAAGAAAATAAGAAAAAAATAAAACAATTTTAAAAATTATAAAATAAATATAAAAATTAAACTTTTTTCTATTCATTATCATGTTTAAAGAGCAAAATTTAGGGGAATTACTTGGCATTTAATGTTTTTGTAATATAATTTTTATAATAAATTAAA